TTTCTTTCTTTCTTTCTTTCTTTCTTTCTTTCCTTTCTTTCTTTCTTTCTTTCTTTCTTTCTTTCTTTCTTTCTTTCTTTCCTTCCTTCCTTCCTTCCTTCCTTCCTTCCTTCCTTCCTTCCTTCCTTCCTTCATTCCTCCCTCCCTCCCTCCCTTCCTTCCTTCTTTCTTTTCTTTCGCTATTTATTGTCTAAAGTTCTACGTATGTTTTCTTTTTCCCTGCTTGACCCTCCCTTACCCCTCAGCCATTCCCACCCGAGTCAAGCCACCACCACCCCAGTGTCTGTGTCCATTGGTTATGCTAATATGCATGCATGCAAGTTCTTTCCTTGCTCTTTAACCTCCCCTTTCCTGCTATTTGTCTCTGGATCTATTCCTGTTTATCCAAGTTTGTTGATCATTATATCTCATGTATGAGTGAGATCATGTGATAATTATCTTTCTGCAATTGACTTATTTCGCTTAGCATCATGCTCTCCAGTTTCATCCATGCTGTTGCTAATGGTTTAAGTTCCTTCTTTTTTAAAAAAAATATATATTTTTTTATTGATTTTTTACAGAGAGGAAGGGGTATCTGTCCAATTTTCCCAACACCATTTATTGAAGAGACTGTCTTGACTCCTTTGTGTGCTCTTGCCTCCTTTGTCTAATATTGAGCATAATGGCTTGGGTCGATTTCTGGATTCTCTGTTCTGTTGCCTTGTTCTATATGTCTGTTGTTGTGCCAGTACTAGGCATTTTTGTAATATAGCTTGGTATGTGGTATCGTGATTCCTCCAACTTTCTTCTTCTTTCTCAGGATTGTTGCGGCTATTGGGTTGTTTGTTCTTTTTCTTTTATTCCATATGAATTTTGGGGGAGTTTGTTCTAGGTCTTTGAAATATGCCGTTGGTATCTTACTGGGGATTGCATTGAACCTATACATCGCTGTGTGTTAATTTTGTATCCTGCTTCATTGCTGAATGTACTTATTATATTTAGTAGTTTTTTGACAGAGTCCTTAGCGTTTTTCTATGTACTATATCATATCATCTGCGAATAATGACAGCTTTACTTCTTCTTTTCCAATTTGGATGCCTTTCATTTCCTCTTCTTGTCTGATCGCTATGGCTAGCACTTCCAGTATTATATCAAACAGGAGTGGTGAAAGTGGGCATCCTGTGTTCCTGTTCTTAGGGAAAATGGTTTTAGTTTTTCCCCATTGAATATGGTTTTGGCTGTAGGTTTGTCATATAAGGCTTTTTTTTTATTTTGATGTATGATCCCTGTACTCCCCACTTTGCTGAGTTTTTATGAAGAAAGGGTGTTGGATTTTGTAAAATGTTGTTTCTGCATCAATTGATATGATTATGTGATTTTTGGTTTTCAGTTTGTTTATGTGATGTATTATGTTTATTGATTTGCAGGTATTGTACCATCCTTGCTTCTCCAGAATAAATCCCACTTGGTCATGGAGTATGATGTTTCTAATGTAATGCTGGGTCCGATTTGCCAGAATTTTGTTGAGGATTTTAGCATCTATCGGGCCACCACAACCTAGTGGTATGTCACAGCATAGGTATAATGACCGCTGTGAGCACCTCTCTCTGGGACAAAGCCGCACTCGAGTACCTGCCCCAATGCCAGTCAGTCCAGTTTCTCCTAGTCTGTGTCTTCATCGGCTCCTCCCCCACAAGCTCTCCAGGCCCAGGAGGGTCAGGTGACGCGGGAGCTTGTAACTTCCGTTAGTGGTGCGGACATTATAAGAGGAGAAGCTGGGTCTCCTGTAGCCTCTTTGTCCCTGAGCCCCAATCCGCACTGATTTTTACAGCCCGTAGTTCTTCCTGCCAGTTCTTACCGGTAGGCACTTCTTTTCCCACCTCTGGGAGTCTGGTGTGGCACTGGGAACCTTTGCTCCTCCGGGCGACCTCAGTAGTGATGATCTCCCTCCCAATTAGAAAAGTGGCCCAAATGGGTCCAGGACGAGCACCTTCCGAGGTCTTTTGTCTGTGATCTCATTTGTCCTTTGTTGTTCTACCACAGTATTGACCCTCCATGTTCTTTGCATCATTTATCCCAAGCAATGCCTCAAATGGGATTTTAAGGGGAGAATCATTTGTGCATCACAGAAGAAACACGACTTTCTGAATGACACAGTGGACCCCCAAGCGGTCTTGCTTTGGAGAAGGGTCATTGGGGAGGAATTCTCTGCTGGCCTTTGTTACATTCATAGCTAGAAAGCCAGTGTTTTGTTACAGTTGCCCATGCCTCCCCGAATTATGCTTGTTTGTGCTGATTGTTGATGCTTTACCCACTATTTAGTTTTTATTATGATCATTTCTATTTAGATTCCCAGCTCATGGATAACCTTAACCTCTCTGGACTTTGCACCTCTGCCTCTTTCACAGGTCTCTCTTTACTGCAAGCCACCGTTGGTCCATGCCTGCAGCACCTTGGAGAGCACACACGTTATTTTATTGAAGTTGTATATCCTGTGATCCAATACAATTAATTTTTATGTCTTTGAGCAGCTTGAAATTATTCCACACAGACTCACATGGTCAGAATGTAAGGTCCTAAAGGAAGCCGTTTATGCAAGAACAAGGGGTAGAGCCATCCTCTCTTCTTTGTATCTCCTCCTATGCTTCTGTCCCTCTGATGGTGAGATTTCCATCATCGACTGACTTTTGGAGCCATGTTATTTATAACAGCAATGTCCTCACTGTCTAACTCACTCATCTTGAAATGTTTTCTATGGAATCATGCCTAGGCAGGACAATTAATCATTCGTGGTGAAGATATTCTGTTTTTTAAGGTCAACATGTACCTCACCAGTATTTACTTTTATACAGGTTGCTGCTGTGGAGTAGAGAATGTGGAGGCACCAACAAAACAGAAGGTTTGTGTTAAAGTGTCCCAGGCAAGGAAGCCCAAGGTAGCCTTTTCTTCCAGGAAGAGCCACCCCTGTGAGAGTTGTGGACTAGTCTTGGGAAACATTTTCCTCATGACGGAGCTGCAGGGAACACAACATAGACAGATACTGTTGAGGTGTGGGGCATGTGCAAAATGGTTTTACTTCACTGTAAAATTTCACCAGCAGCATGTGAGAGAGAAGACTTTCTTTAGAGGGGTGGGCAGGATCTCACTTGCAAACAGCTGCAATGTCAATGTGTCCCAGAATCATTTCACCTGTGAGGAGGTTGGGCAGGGTGTCCTTACCGGGTCAGGACATCTCCACCTAAAGGCTCCTCAGACCAGGGACAGTCCAAATGCTATTTCAACACCTGGGGTGATGTTTCAAAGGAGAGAAAATTGTTACACCAGAAAAGAATGTAAGAAAGTCAATAGTTGCACCCACATGTTTATTCAGGAAAAGGGTGTCGATGTTGGAAGTCGATGTTTTGTGTGCTCTGAATGTGGGAAATCTTTTACAACTAACTCTCACCTTCATTATCATCAGAGAGTTCACACAGGAGAAAAGCCTTATAAAGGCAGTAAATGTGGAAAGTCTTTTACAAGGAGCACTTGCCACCAATATCATCAAAGAGTTCATACAGGTAAAAAGCCTGATCAATGCAGTGAATGTGGGAAGAGTTTTACCACTAGAAGCCAGCTTCGTAGTCATCAGAGAGTTCACACTGGAGAAAAGTCTTATCAATGCAGTGACTGTGGGAATACTTTTACCACTAGAAGCCAGCTTCGTAATCATCAGAGAGTTCACACTGGAGAAAAGCCTTATCAATGCAGTGAATGTGGAAACTTTTTTACCCGGAGCAGTTCCCTTCGTTGTCATCAGAGAATTCATACAGGAGAAAAGCCTTATAAATGCAGCGAATGTGGGAAATCTTTTATCAACTGCAATGTGCTTCGTTGTCATCAGAGACTTCATACAGGAGAAACACCTTATCCATGCATTTACTGTGGGAAAACTTTTACACAAGCTGGTAGTCTCCAATATCATCAGAGAGTTCACACTGGAGAAAAGCCTTATAAATGTAGTGAATGTGGCAAGTCTTATATAAATAGCAATGGTCTCCAATGTCATCAGAGAGTGCACACTGGAGAGAGGCCTTATAAATGCAGTGAATGTGGGAAATCTTTTACCCAGAGCAGTGCCCTTCGTTGTCATCAGAGAGTTCACACTGGAGAAAAGCCTTATAAATGCAGTGAATGTGGAAATTGTTTTACCCGGAGCAGTTCCCTGCGTTGTCATCAGAGAATTCATACAGGAGAAAAGCCTTATCAATGCAGTGACTGTGGGAAATCTTTTACCTGGAAAATTGATCTTCGTCGTCATCAGATAGTTCATACAGGAGAGAATCCTCATAAATGCAGTGAATGTGGAAAGTCTTTTACAAATAGCACCCGTCTCAAATATCATCAGAGAGTTCACACTGGAGAAAAGCCTTATAAATGCAGTGAATGTGGGAAATCTTTTACAAGTTGCAATGGTCTTCAAAATCATCAGAGAGGTCACACTGGAGAAAGCTGTTGAGTGCAATTAATGTGAGATATCTCTCAGTCTAATTTGTAAATAATTCTACATAACAAATTCCGGATATAATAAGCTTCTTAGATGTGTAGGAAATGTAGTTTCTTAATAAGGATTTATCAATTGTATAAGAAAATAACTGAAGTCTCATTAGTCTGAATTACATCTCATACATTTAATCGCCTACATTATGTAACGTCTCCGCAACTTTTTCTGCTGTTTTGTTTGTTTGTTTTTATGTTGGAAGTATATGTATCTATGTTGCACTTTCTAACATACAGAGATGTCCGCCACGATCTATGTCACTGCATATTTCTGTTGCTGAAGCTATTTCCCCCTATCTTATAGCTTCCTACAAGGTCCCGACAGATGGCATCAATCACCATCTTCATGGGCCCAGGGAAGCTAACTGTGTTGTCTAATTTGTTGAAGAAAATAGGAATACCTAATCCCTTAGTTCTTACATGTATCCCTTCCATGAGTTGCCACATAGGACTGATTACCCTTGGTGCCAGTAAACATAATGTTGCAGAAGAAATGCCATTTTGAGGGACACACTATCCTACATGCTAATGTTGACTTTATTTGAGTGCGTAAGTCAGTGTCGGCGAATCTATGACACACCTGTCAGAGGTGACGCGCGAACTCATTTTTTTTTTTTTTGGTTGATTTTTCTTTGTTTAATGCCATTTAAATATATAAAATAAGTATCAAAAATATAAATCTTTGTTTTACTATGGTTTTAAATATAAAGAAATTTCTATATGTGAAACAGCACCAGAGTTAAGTTAGGATTTTTCAAAATGCTGACAGGCCGAGCTCAAAAGGTTCGCCATCACTGGCCTAAGTCATCAAGGTGAAAACCGCCAATCTCAGGTGTCTTTCTTTGCAAAATAATGAAGGCTTTTTACTAGGACTTTTTTAATGCTGGGTGTTCTATTTACTGTGTGGGTTAGTTTATTAGAAGATCTGGGCTCTCCAAGCATGATGATGGGGAAATTTTTTGTGGTCTCAAACAGTTTTGCCCTTGGGAGAAGACTATGGTGCAGAAATTAGCTCAGCAGTTTTTGCCAAATTTACATTCCTGCCCATAATTTTGCAGGAAACAATGTGCACTGTTTAGTCCTCCTGTGAAAATGGATGCTTTGAGACACAGAAGTCACTCAAAAGAGGGGGTAGCTGTGACAACCTCAAGTATGTCTGGGAGCAGCATAAATTTTTTTCTTGTTTTCAAGGGATGCTAAGACATTTGAAGGGATTCTTTTGCCCAGGTGTTGCAGAGGGCCATGTGCCCTAATGCCTTCAATTGCATGGGTGATGGGCACTTGTTGGAGGACCATCACAGTGAGGGGGACCACTTCAGTGCGGAAATCTGACCTAATTCTATTACAAGAAATGGACTTCATTTAAACCTGCACCCAGAAAGTTTTTTGAGGAAAAGACTGCAGGAACGGTCTGTACACAGATCTGAGAAACTCCCGGCATGTTTATCCTGTGTGCAGCAGTCATTGTCATTGATTATAATCAAGAGGTTCTGTGGCTTCCGGTAGCTTCTCAGATGTTCCCAATAGAGCCATTGGTGCTCTGGCAGCAAAACTAAGAGGAAAATAAAGAGTGTCTTTAGGCCAGAGATCTGGCTTTTGTGACCCAGTCAACATTCCAGTGGTTTGGGTGAAAGTTCTTCATTGTTTGTTACATTTTCTGTTACTGAGATGAGACTGGCCCAGAGGGCATAAGAATGTGGCTTGAGTGCTAACCGGTTTGGCTCAATGGATAGATCGTCAGCCTGCGGACTCCAGGTTCCCAGGTTCCATTCTGGTCAAGGGCATGTACCTTGACTGCGGGCACATCCCTAGATGGCGTGTGCAGGAGACAGCTGATCGATGTTTCTAACACTATCCCTCTCCCTTCCTCTCTGTAAAAAATCAACAAAAATATATTGGGGGGAAAAAGAATGTGGATTGAATATAGAGTTGAAAAACATGTTGTTCCAGAATAGGTGAACGTACATTTCTTTTATCTTGAGCCATTTAATTTACAGTTACGTTGCATTCCTGGAGACAGTTTGGCAGATGTATAGGTAGTTGTGCTGTCAGCATTTTTCCCAAGCCTATAAAATATGACTAGAGAGAAAGTTATGAAGAGTTCAAAAGGCTTGTTTGGAGGAATGGAGGGAAGGAAACTTTCTACTGACTAGAGACTCCGTGGTGCAAATTATCTCTGAGGTGTGACAACAGCAGGGCGGAGGGATAGCAAGAATGTAGTCTTGCAAGTAACTTCTCTTGTTCAGCAGTTTGAACAGAGGAGTTGTTGGATTAGAGGAGTCAACAATCTTGGGGTTTAATTGGCAGGTGATTCTCATAAATTGTGGAAGGCCACAGCAAAGAAAATAAAGACCTTTTTTTTGTCCTTAAAAATATCTCCACCACATTTAGAACCTAAGGCTTTAGTGACTTGAAGAATGAATACTTCTAGGAGATGAAATAAAGGGACACCAGAAATACTTGGGACATTCTGTTAAGGAGGATGTGAACAATGGGTCCGGCAGGAAATAAAGTACTTGGGGTTTAATTATGAGAAGCAAGTGCTTCTCATAAATTGTGGAAGGCCACAGCAAAGAAACAGACCTTTTTCTTGTCCTTACAAATGCCTCCAACACATTTAGAACCTAAGGCTTTAGTGACCTGAAGAGTGACTGCATCTAGAAGACCAAATAAAGGTACACCAGCAATACTGGGGTCATTCTGTTTAGCAGGACATCAGCAATGGGTCCCTGAGTTAATAAACCACTCATTGAATGTTCTCCTCAACCCACAGGTTCTAACTTCCCAGTATGGACAAAAATGATGGCACACAGTAAACCTAGTAATCTCAGGGAGCCTGGCATAGCATAGGCAATCTTGCAAACTCGGAGGCTAAAAGTACCCATATAGGATGCTTTGAAGTTAAAACTTGCCAAGTAAAAGCTAGTCACAGGGGTATTTATCTCCTAGTTTGTTTGTTTTGTTGTGTGTGTGTGTGTGTGTGTGTGTGTGTGGTTTTTTAATTTTTTGCAAGTTTCAAATTTTACCTTAGTGAGCCTGTCTGTTGTCTTTTTGCATCTGGGACGACATACCTTTGGATTTTCAGGGACATTTCTGTTTCACAGACTCCTAAGAGCACAATCTCTGAACACAGAAGATCACAGAGCCCCAATTAGTGTTATTGTGTTATATATTAACTGTTACCAATCACATAAACTTAAAAAGAAGTTTGTCTTTTTTTTTTACTTTTTATCCAATCCCAGAAATTTACCTCTTTAGTCCCCCCCCCCCCCCCCCCCCCCCCCACCTCCTACCCC